AAAAAAATGTGGAGTGAGAGCGACCGCTTAGCCCTCTGGGAGGGATTTCACTCACTTCTGCCCTAGACCGCCGTTCGCAACGAGGCACAGCACCTCACACCCTCCCGAGGGACCAGCACGTCGTCGGCACCCCGGGGTTGCGTTCTTGTGTGGGGAGGCCTGCATGGGCACGCTCCTGCCTTGGTTCCCGCGAGCTGAGTTGGGCCTCAAGGGGAGCAGAAACCCTCTGTGCCTGCTCTGAAGGACACCCACTGCCCAGACACGCTCGGAGGTCACCCCACTCCCATGCTGCTGCTCGGAGACACCCCACTTCCAGACACCGGCTGCGGAGACACCTCCACTCCCAGGACACCGGCTCGGAGCGACACCCCCACTCCCCAGACACCGGCTTCGGAGGCACACCCCCACTCCAATTAGGAGATGCTGGCTCGGAGGACACCCCACTTCCAGACATCGGCTCGGAGACACCCAACTCCCATGTGCTGCTCGGAGCGACACCCAGCTCCAGACACCGGCTCGGAGGACGTCCCACTCCGACACCGGCTGGGAGGATTCCAGCTGCCAGGGATGGCCCCGGGTCCTCGGGCGCTTCTTGGACACCTGTGGGTGTGGGCTGGGGAGCTGGGAGCTCATCTGAACACGCCAGCACTCATGCATCCCACGCTGCTGGCGGACGCAAACTGGGTTTCTCCCACTGTGGGGCCACGTTATGCTGAGGTCGCTGTGGACATTCTCCGTGCAGAATCCCAGGCCTCTTGGGTGGTCGGGTAGTGCTACAGGAGTGGCATAGCCGGGCCTCATGGACAGAAGTCTTGGCCTCCAAGCACGAAACCGGTGGCGTTTCCAAGGCGATTGTCCCCCTGGCACCCACCCCAGAGAGAGATAGAAGAAGAGACAAAACATATATACTCATATATATAAGAAGGACAGGACTCCTCTGGGTGTTCCAGGGGCCCCTGACACCGTCCAGCTGCCAGCGGGGATGGGCGCGGTGTGGAGGGAAGAGGGGCGGTCCTCTACACTCTTCCTTCAAGCGGACACGGAGGACCAGGGTCAGCCCTCCCGCCACTCCAAGCTCTGGGGTGACCCTGGGCTCAGGGCGACCACTTGTCAGCGCCTGGCCCAGCAACCCCCACGCCAGGCGCCTGGACCCTGAGCCTTCCCATCACTCCGGTCCCCACTCCAATCTGGCAATTTGCACAACCAGGGACCACCCTCCAGCGCGTCCACTCTGAAACCCCCACTACCTGCTACCTCCACCCTGGCCCAGACCCTTCTCCAGCCAGGACGTCTGTGTCCCTCGGGAGGTGGAGGTGCCTGTTTGCCTCCGTTGTGCGGAACGGCGGTCAGGGGCAGAAGTGAGTGAAATCCTCCCAAGGGCTAAGCGGTCTCACTCCACATTTTTTTTTTGCCAGAGTCTCACTCTGTCTCCAGGCTGGAGTGCAGTGGCGCAATCTCAGCTCACCTCAAGCTCCGCCTCCCGAGTTCAAGCCATTCTCCTGCCTCAGCCTTCCGAGTAGGAGGTAGCAGGTAGTGGGGTCAAGTGGGACCCTGGAGGTTGGTCCCTGGGTGCAAATTCCAGATTGAGTGGGGAGCCGGGGGAGTGATTGGGAAGGCTCAGGTCCAGGGCCGCCTGGCGTGGGGGTTGCTGGCCAGCCGCTGACAAGGGTCGCCCTGAGCCCAGGGTCACCCAAGGAGCTTGGGAGCGGCTGACCCCTGGGCCTCCGTGTCCTTGAAGGAAGAGTGTAGAGA